GGCGCAAATCATTATTTATGGAAACCTTAGTTGTGTTAGTACCCAGGCAGGCAGACAGAGTCCTGACCTTTTTTAATGTTGAGCCACTTTTAACCGTCATGAATTTGTCTAATGCATCCCTAATGATTACATCCTTATGTTGGGTTGAGTAGGATTTCTGAGCAGGAATCCCAGATAGGATAAGCAAATTTGGCACTGACCTGGTATTCTTTAGCCATACATATATAATGAAACTTGGTGTTAAGCTTCATTCTGAAGTTTCATTTCTTGAGAATAGATTGTAGAACTAATGCCTCCTTTGTGGGCCACTGAAATGAGAAGACCTGGGGGTTCAGCTGGACTGAGGTTCTTTTTTTTTTGGTTTTTTGAGACAGGGTCTCACTATGTAGTTGAGACTGAGCTGGAACTCACTATGTAGCTCAGGCTGGTCTCAAACTCAGTGATCCTCCTGCCTCAGCCTCCCAAGTGCTGGGATTACAGGCGTGCTGACTGTATGATCTTGGCCAAGGAATCTCCTTTCCCTGGGCTGTCATTTCCTTCCCATATGTAAAGGAATTAGATTAGCTTAGGAAGAGGAAAAATACAGTTAGCCCACCAAATCTGGTTAACTATTTGTTTTATAAACACGTATTTTTGAAAGAAAAATTTTAGCTTTACAGGAAAACTGAGCAAAAAGTCCATGTATATCCCCTGCCACCATACATACCCAGTGCACTGTCAACATCCCCCCACCAGAGTGACATTTGTTACGATCCATGAACTTGCATTGGCACGTATTATCACCGGAGGTCTCTGGTTGCATTAGGTTTACTCTTAGTGTTGAATATTCTGTGGGTTTGGAGAAATACACAGTGACATGTGTTTACCATTAGAGTATCATATAGAATATTTTCACTGCCCTAACAATCTGTTTTTGTAAATAAAGTTTTATTGGAACACAGCCAAGCCCATTTTTTTACAAAACAGCTATGGCAGCTTTTATACTATCATAGCAGACTTGAACCATTGTGATAGAAACCATATGGCTCATGAAACCTAAAGTATTTATTCTTTAGTCACCAAAAGAAAAAGTTTGTGGACCCTCGCACTAGATTATTTTCAAGTAACTCCTAGAATTTGTGATTTTTCTGTTGGGTGACTCTGTTTCATATCCGATTGCTTAGCTGTTTATTCTTCCTCCTCATCCCATTCCTGTCCCATCTGTCTTCATTCCTTCCTGTGTCCTGACACAGCTGCCACCGTCCCAGAGCAGAGGACTGTGACCCTGGATGTTGATGTGAACAACCGCACGGACCGGCTGGAGTGGTGTAGCTGCTATTATCATGGCAACTTCTCCCTGAATGCAGCGTTTGAGATCAAGCTACACTGGATGGCAGTGACAGCCGCAGTGCTCTTTGAGATGGTGAGACCTTTACACGTGTGGTCAGAGCCTTTGTCTGGCTCCTCTCGCGAGAGGGTGTAGGGAATGCTTAGTAATGATTCATGTCACTTGGATTATTTGGATTGAGCTTTTACTACCTTTCACTTGGACTATCGGAATACCCTTAAAAAAAATTAAACAGGGTTTGAACAGGGTTTCTCAACCTTGGCACAACTGACATCTAGGGCTGGATAATTCTCTGCTGTGGGGAGCTGTCCTATGCATTTTAGGATGTTGAGCAATATCTCAGCCTCTACCCACTAAATGACCACCTACATACTTCCACGTGTGAAAACCAAAAATGTTTCCAGAACTGGCTCACGACAACAAGGAGAAGTATTGCTCCAGTTCAGAATCACTGGTCCAGAGTGGAAAGTAAGTCTCCCATCTGTGTGTCCTGGGACTTACATCTAAAGTAACTACCACTACACTTAGTTCACTTAGTTTAGTGTACTTTTTTTTTTTTTTTTGAGATAGGGTCTCACTACATAGTTCAGACCAGCCTTGAACTCACTGTGCAGCCTAGTCTGGTCTTGAACTTGCAGCGATCCTCCTACCTCAGCCTCGCACGTTCTGGGATTACAGGTGTGCGCCATCACACCTGGCAGTTTAGTGTACTTCTACAGCAGGAGTCGCCAACCCACAGACTTGTACCTGTTAGGAACTGGGTTGCATGGCAGGAAATGAGTGATGTGTGGCGTGAGTGAAGCTTTGTCTGTATTTGTAGCCCCTCCCCTTCGCTCACATGACTGCATCACCTGTTAGGTCAGTGCTGCCATTAGGTCTCATAGGAGCTCAAAGCCTGCTATGAACTGCCATGGAGGGGTCTGGGTTTCATGTTCCTTTGAATCATCCTGAATCCACCCACCAGCCGCTCACCCTGTCTGTGAAAAAATTATCTTTCTTGGGCTGGGGATTTAGCTCAGTAGTGCCGCTGCCTGCCTCGCAAGCACAAGGACCTAAGTTCCATCCCTGGTGACAAAAAACAAAACAAACACATTATCTTTTGTGAAGCCAGTCCCAAAAAAGTTGGGGGCTGCTCTCCTGGAAAGATTCTGTGCATATGGAAAACTATGTAACTTGTTCTTTGTGTGTGTGTGTGTGTGTGTGTGTGTGTGTGTGTGTGTGTTTGTTTCGGGCCAGTACTGGGGAATCAAACCCTAGGGTGCTCCACTACTGAGCAACATCCCCAGCCCCTTAAAATTTTATTTTTATTTTGAGACAGGGTCTCACCAAGTCACTGAGTTGCCTAGCTTGGGTTCAAACTTGCAGCCCTGTTGCCTCAGCCTCCAAGAATGCTGGGACCATAGGAATATCCTACTGTGCCTCGCATTTTTCCCCCCCTTATAGGTCCTTAGTATGTTTCTGAGGCTGGTCTCAAATTGGCAATCCTCCTGGCTCAGCCTTGAAAGTAGCTGGGATCACAGGTGTGCACCACCACACCCTGCATTGCTTATTTTTTTAACATGGATGGTAGCACAGAATGTATTCTATTTACATTTGTTTTTCCTATGATACCTATATGTCTTCCATACAATGGGTGATCAAAATATACAGTGAATGTTTACATTTTTTTAAAATTATAACATTGACAATGTATTACATAAATTACATTTTTAAAAATTTATAATAAAAAACATTTCTATTAATTACCTTCCTTAAAATACACCTCCTTGCTTCAGCCACATTTATTCCATTATTCTTGCCACTTTGTGAAGCAATTCTGGAAGCCCTCTTTCATGAATGTCTTTTCGTGGTATGTCAAAAAGTCGGTGAATATTGTTTGCCAAGTGTCATCCAATAGAAAAACAGGCTCAAAAAAGCATTGTCCTAATCCACCTTATTCGCCAGGTCTGGTACCATGTGACTTCTGGCTGTTCCCCAAAGTCAAAATGACTATGAAAAGTAAACACATTGAATCTATTCAGGGCATTGAGGTGGTTCCACAGTGCAACTAAAGACACTCACACAGGTCTTCCAGAATGATGGATTAAATGTGTTTGAAGCTGGGGGGTTATTTTGAAGGAGATCAATGACAATGTGTCTTTTACTATACCATTTTTTTTAAGTTTAAACTTTTACCATATTGTTCCATTATAACTCGCATAGATTCTGATAAGTCTGTCTTGTTTGTATTTGGTATTTTTCAATTGTTGGTTTTTGTTTTCTTTTTGCCTAATTGTATTTAAGAACTGCAGAATATTTTATTATTTATTTGTACCATAATTTAACCAATCCTCTGTTAATGAGCATCACTGTTTTTAAGCCATCGTGCTCCATCCCCCACCCTCACCCCCATGCAATATCTGCAGATGCTTATTACACACAGTAGGGCTAAGAAGTGCTACTGGCTACTGACGTCTAGTGGTAGAAGCTAGAGTTGCTGCTTATCACCCTACAATGCATAAGACAGCACCTAAACAAAGAATTAAGTGATCCAAGATGTCACAAATGCCAAGGCTAAGTAGTCCCATTTTAACTGGTCTTTTTGACCTGCCTGTCTAATCAGTCCATTCATTACTTCTGTACTAAGAGTCCGTTGTTGGCCACTGCACATCCCAGTCCCCGTGCCTATAAAATAAGCATTCTATAGCCAAGCTGTTTGCCTTCACAAAGCCTTCCCTAACTATCATCACAATGTGGTACTCCTTTTATACATTGTGATTCAGCCAGAAAGAATATTTCCCTATGGTTCAGCTGAGTCCACCCCTCCCCAACACTGCATTTCACTGCACAGCTGAGAGCAGCTGGAAAGTTCAGAGTTTACTGAAAGCTGGGAGATGACCCAAGAGAAATGAGTGTAATGCTGGCAACATGTTTTATTGTCCAGAGCTTGTGGGCCTAGTTTTGTCCTATAAGATGTGGTGTCCTAGGGGGAGAGGTTTGGGTCTGTACCTGCAAGCACCTCAATATATGACAGTATCTTAGAGGACCTCTCTCTCAGAAAGATGATCATCCAGGGAGCATCCTTCAGATCCAAAAAAAGATATCAGCTGCTCATCTTGCTTAGTTTACAGATGACACCGGACACCAGCTTTTCCCCAGCTGTTTGACACTGGGAGGAATGCTCCTCCAGGCAAAACTAACCCTCTGACCCATAGGCATGGTGCTCTCTTTGCAGGCCCTGCCAGATAACCTTATCTCCAAACAATATAACCACAGCACTCACAGACATACACATATAGTTAGTTACAGTTGGAAAGGAAGAAAAATGTTTATTTCCTTTGAGGAATTTAGAAACTATCTTTAAAAAAACATACTGTTCACACCTATTCCTGTAAAAAGCTACTGGACATTGATAATGATTTTGTCATGGTTTTGTTTTGTTTTAGACAAGGTCTTACTTGTAGTTTAGGCTGGCCTTGGGCTCACTATATAGCGCAGGCTGACCTCAGTGCATGGCGATTGTCCTACTTCAACCTCCCGAGTGCTGGAATTACAGGTGTGCACCATCACACCTGGCTATTTTGTTATTTTTAAACATTAATATGGGTGAATTTTTAAGACAATGTCCAACATTTATTAAATAAATCAGATTTTATCAGGCTAAATATTGCCTTTTGTGTGTGGGGGTACTGAGGATTGAATCCAGGCCCTTTGTACTGTGCTACATCCCCAGTCCTTTTTTTATTTTGCAACAGGGTCACAGTAAGTCACCAAATTGCCCAGGCTAGGTTCAAACTTGCAGTCCTCCAGCCTCAGCCTCCCAGAGTATAAGTGTTGTTAATTAGCCTTGGGATTAGCCTCTTGATCTCTCAATCCAGAATTCTTGGCTTTATTGTTGTTATTATGAGTCTTCCTGGGGAAAAGCTAAGCACCAATTTAGATTTAAGTCTAGGTATTGCACAAAGTCCAGATATGTTTCATTTTATCTTATTAATTTAATTTTTTAAATTTTTGAAGTGGGGTCTTAATATGCTATCCAGGCTATCCTTGTACTCCTAGGGGTCAAATGATCCTCTTACCTCAGTTTCACAAGTACCTGGAACTACAGGTACAGGCACACACTGCTGGGCCTGGTGTCTTTTTGGTTTTTTTTGGTGCCGGGGATCAAACTCAGGACTTTGAGCTCCCGAGGCAGACAGTGGCACCACTGAGTTAAATCCCCAGCCCTGTTGTCTGTCTTTTTAAAATAATATTTAACCAGAAGGCCTGGCTACTCAGAAGGCAGAGACAAGAGGATCACTTGAACTTACAAGTGCTTAGGTGACATAGCAAGACCCTCTCTTGAAGAAACTAACTAAAAAAATTTTTATATAATCTCATCTTTATGCCAGAAGCCATATCCATCAGCTTTTTTTTTTTTTTTTTTTTTTTTTTTTTTTT